ATACTTTTTGAGAGGAATATTTGATAGCATGTTACTTGTACAACCACAAGCTGGCTTGTTAACTTTTATTAAAAAATAAAAAACAAAACAAGACAAAAACTGGTGTGTCGAATCTGAACATGGCATTCTTGTTTCTTTTTGGTTTTATCTATCACTTAAGTTTTCATGAAGGAATAATAATTTGAATATTAAGAAAGAAACGTGGAAAGAATTCTATAAGTAAATTGTAGACAAGAAAGTTGTCATAAAAATGCCCTTTCTATTGTAACTGCAGGTGGTTTGTATTGTTATTTTAGGTTTATGTCATACTATAATACATTTTTCAGTAAATATGACAGGGCTATGACTATTTTTAGTGCTTACATAAATTCATTATTTGTATTTAACTGATGGAGTCATCCCCCCCTTCAAAAATATTTGTATCTTTTTATTTTTCCATGTTTGATACGTCAACATAAGCTGAACTTAGCTAATTAATTGTGGTTTTATGTTCGCTTTAATTACAGCAATTTTAAAATGTTACCACTTTTTGGTATCGCATTGCAACATGTTATCTATAAATTTAAAGCGAATATCACCGGGTTGCATTCCCTGCTAGTGTCCCCCGCAGCAGTTTCTAGTCTCACGGAACGCCTGCGAGGGAGACTAATTTCCTGCATTCCAGCGTGCCGGTAATATTTCCGTCGCGTTTCACAACTAGGAAGATTTTTATTTATTATATATAAGCAGACGGTGTTTCTTAAAACATATCGAGCATGAAAGAGACTTACATCTCACTTAATTTAGCACCTCCGGTATGGAACCGTACACATATTCCATCAGGCATTACGCAATAAAATAACTACTATAACTTACCTCGACTGACTTTGACTTAAGAAGTACGCCAAGCACCGAAGCAGTTGCATCCATTTTCTCACTCCTTTGCTTTAAAAGTACTGACCCTGCTATGGCAATGCTTGAAAACCAAGAACGCTCTTTGGTCCTTTTGTTTGCTGCGGAAGTCATCAAGAACGAGTAGAACAGAGGAGCCCTCTCTTTCCACTCGTTGCAGAGGAGTTGCAAGTCGAATTTGGCTAGATCTTCTTTGCCAGATTTACTTAAAATTGAAGGATTCTTTTTTGAGCACAACGCCGCTACCTCTTTGGAAAAAGTTTTCAATACATTTTCAATGACGTGATTTCTAAGCGTTGGACTTTTCATTACGGCATTTGCGATCTGTGAAGGTACGCCGTGCGCCAAAGTCTTCCCAATGGTCTGATAGCTTCCACAGAGGGTTTTTTTTCATAGTTTTACTAGGATACTGGACGCTCAAAAATGTCTTTGAAGTCTCACTAGTGTTAGTAAGATGATTGGAAGCAGCTTTTGAGGCGATTGGAGTAGAAGTAAGTATCGGTTGGGGAATTTCGCACTGGGCTCTTACTGTCAGTTGACCAGGGAAAGCTTCTGGCACAAGTCCGTTTTGATGACTTCGAATAGGAGACCCACCAATAGAGCCAATATGAAATCTTGACGGAGTATAACGTATCTGTTGGCTGATCGCGGTAGAAATACTAGAATTGGCTGTAGCATTTATAGAGGTACAAGCGGTACTGATCGGATCGAATTGTAAACATTTCCAGGATTTCCCACGGCACGAAGCTTGGATTTCTTCACCGTCGCTCTCAACGTTCAATAAGCGCTTCGTTCTGGGAAGTTCGCGATCCTTGAAGATTCCCTTCAGTTCATCTTTGAGCTCTTCAAGATGATCAGAGGCCTTTTTGAACTTGATCAATCGTCGGTAGCAAGCTTTAAAAACTGACAACTCGCTGGTTGCTGAATAGCAGCTCACATTCACATCCAGACAGGAACTAATAATCGCCGGAAAATCAAAAGAACTTTTTCCGAAAACATAAATTTTTTCTTTTTTCTCAACTAAAGTGGAACAAATAAAACAACGATCACTTTGCAAAACCTTTTTCGGCGTTTCCTCCATCAAGAAACTACGATGAAATGCAGAATTTGAAAACGCGGGAATAATCATATT